TCTATATTAATGATATTATTTGGTTTAATAAACATTATGAGTAATTTTTAGAATGTTATCTTCATATGATAATAATTCTTTTAATATTGATTTTTTTTCTACAAATTTTTTGAAAATCTTGATCTCGTTATCTATCATTGATATCAATGTGGTAGCATACTTAAATTATAAATGAATTAGGTGCAATTAAAAGATTTTTGGAGTATTTTTAGAAAAATCAAATCACATACAAAGAAAAAGATTTAAAGATAGAAAAAGACTTTCCATTATCTTACTTTATTTAGGTCACAAAATTACGGATAGATCGCTCTTATGAAACACTTTTCATTATTCTATTTTATTTGGGCCACAAAAAGAATGATAGATCGCTCTTATGAAACACTTTTCATTATTGATGCAGGAGTATTGATTAAGTTTATATTAGTTTATCTATATTATACTGATTTTAATCTTAATTATATAAAGTTGAATCTAAACTTGATATCATTTATACTCCATAATTGTATCATCAATGTGCAACCATGACATTTTTACTCTGTTATTAATCATAATTTATTGTATATTTCGAGAAACTTTAGTCAATACTTTTTTGTTCTATACTCTTTGTGTTTGTCTTTGGTGTTGTCACCCACCTAAAATTAAATGCAATACATATACTAAAAAAAAAAGCGAGAATTCTCATTTCTCTGTCTCATACTATATAATATACATAGAACTTTATGAAGACTATGAGAGTCATCCAATCACAGTTGGTCTTTCAAATGAATTGTGTCTACTGAAAATCTTTCATTCAATCATTGTTATTATTAAGAAAAAAATAGGGCTTAATCCAAAAAAAAACTAAGAAAAAATAACACGATGGGTTGTAATCCTTATTTCATGATTAGATAACAGACATTTCTTCAAAGTAATCTTCATAATATTGTGTTCCTACTTCATACCTCAAGTTCAAATTAGCCAAAGCGTCAGCACAAAGATTTATTTTTTGATACACATGTTCTATTTGACTTCCTAACCCCCATTGATCAAATTTTTGATTTGATGTTGAAGACCTCAACCTCCTCCTATCTTTGTCTTGTTGTTTGTTAATGTTTCAAAATGTTAGAAATTTTAGGTCACAAATATAATATTCTATGTGTTAGGACTATTATGTAAATAGATGAAGTTGTAGTAGTCTAATTAATAATAAGTCTATAACTAAAAGCATAAATATCATGAAAAATAATATTATTTTATAGATACCGTAAGTCAATATCTAATTTGATGAGAGGTCAAATTAGAATATTGAAAACTAAGAAATAACTCTAAAGTTATTTATAGGGGTTATGGTCCTTATTTGTAGACAAAATGAAAAAGGCTTATCAAGAATTTTTTGTTCATCTCCATTAGAGGAGAATGAAGAAGTTATAAGGAATTCTACAAATCGAAAGATCAAATACCCGCAAATTTTTTGTGATTCTTAATGGCAAATTCAGATACGCTTTCGTTTTCGTTCTCATTATTGTATTCGGGTATGAGTTTAAGAGATTTATTTAGAATTATGTTTTTGATTTATATATTGATAGAAATTATAAGGTTATGAACATATCTAAAAAGTGATATAAGAGCAATTTATATCTGATTCAATTTGATTTTGGAATTATTTAAGATCCTTTAATCTTCGAATTGTATAAATCAATATTTTTCATGTTGATGATCCCATGTTTTTTGAGAGTTTTTTTTTTAATGTTAGGGTTTTAAAAACTAGAATCTCTTTTGATCTTCTAATTTAATTAAGGATTAATCTTTTATATTCTAAATTTTTTTATTCTGTTAATGACAAACCTTTTTTTATAAGAATAACATATTCTTAATTTTCTTGAAATTGCTCTTCTGATTAATCTTCTGATGATCACATTGTGTATGCTATATATATAAATTTCTTTTCTAATTGCGTTTCAATTGCTTTCAAACTATCCTTTGTGATACGTTTTCGAATCGAAGATTTTTGCACAGTTATATAATTTTTTTAATGGTTTATCTCTATTGATTTTTCTTTGCATACAATATATATATATATATATATATATATATATATATATATATATATATATATATATATATATATATATATATATATATATATATATATATATATATATATATATATATATATATATATATATATATATATATATATATATATATATATATATATGAAATCAATTGACATATTTATAGAATGTTAAATTAAGATCCAAAATGCATGTATCTGGAAAAAGATGTATCGGAATTATTCAAGTTGAATATCTTTACATAATTTTTTTTCATAAAAAATTATCATTTATTATATAAATTTTGTTATGCTAAGTGACTACCATATGTCGTATTGCCGTCTTATGCATAGCTTCCGCTTTTTTATATGAGAAAAATTTATAGATGTGTAAGTAATTTATGTCATATGTGATATGGTAAATTGATAAGAGTGTGTTTTTGTTGTATCATTCTTGTATTGAATAGATAATTAGGTTACACACAGTGTCTGCACTTTAATTTTGAGTTATTCTTTTTAAGTACTATTTAAGTGCCTTCAATTGTTGAAGAGATTGTCTAGGCTGACCATGTATTGTTTTGTTCTACTTTGCATAATAAATATAAAGTAAATTTTGGTATAATTTATATAAAATAAATTTTGGTTCAATTTTTTTGTTCATAGATTGACTACGGATTGTATTTTTATACAATAATTTAACTTTTTAAATGAGAAATTGAAATATAAAAGTCATTAAAGTGATATCTTTTATGGAAATTACTTATGAAAAATATTAAATAATTTTTTGGTTGTGTGTTTGTTTGTCCATGCGAGTATCAATTGACTCAAATGACAATTCATAGTTGGTTGATTTTCATACGCGTATGTGATGGTAAATATGTGATAATTATAAGGTATTACATGTGAATAATAAATCAATCCACTGAGGAGTTTATTATTCGACATGTTTTTATTATCAATGTTTGGTCGTTACAACAAGAGCACCACTAACCGTTAATATTAGTGTCCAAAGACTCAATATTGATTGTGTACTAAGTATCTTGAGATGAGTTACGTCATTATTTGAACAAATTGATAATTCAGTTTTCTTTTATGTGACTATATTTAAAATGTTTAATTTTGTTCTGGTTTTTTTAGCAACAGTTGTTTCAATATATGCTAATCTAAATTCAGTTTTTGTTCTTACAGGGACAAATCGTATGAATTATAGTTTGGTCTGCTCTAAGGTCAATTTGGCTACCTCGAAACACTTGGTGGTTAGACTCTGGTGCAACTACTAACATCAATGTTCCAATGAAGGGTTGCCTAAACTACCGAAAGCCAAATGATGTTGAAAGATACATTAGGATATTTTAGATTATTATTGTGTACTGGATTTTATTTGAATTTGAAAGACACTTTTGTGGTTTCGTCATTTAGACGGAATTTAATTTCAGTTTTTTATTTGGACAAATCAGGTTATTTTTGTTCATTTGGAAATAATATGTTCAAGTTGTCTTTTAATTCAGATATTGTTAGAACTGGTTCACTTATGGGTCATGATAATCTATATTTGCTTGACACAATAGCTACCTATGGCGAATTATTGAATATGAAATCATGTGGTACTAAGCGTAAAATTGATGATAACAATTCAGGAGCATTATGGTATAAACGTCTAGGTCACATCTCTAAAAATAGAGTTGAGCGACTGGTGTCAGATGGAATTTTAGATTATATTGACTTCACAAATTTTGATGTTTGTGTTGAATGCGTTAAAGGTAAACAGACCAAAATAAAGAAATATGATGCACATAGAGCTACAAGTGTCTTAGAATTGACACATACAAACATTTGTGGACCATTTCCTACACCTTCTTGGAATGGTCAACAATATTTTATATCACTCATAAACGATAATTCTATATATGCATACATATTTCTCATACATGAAAAGTCTCAATCCTTGGATGTGTTCAAATCATTTATGGCTGAAGTTGAGAATCAACTCAAAAAATGAATTAAGAAAGTGAAATCTGGTTGTGGCGGTGAATATTATGACATATATGATGGTTCAAGTGAACAACATCCAGGGCCTCTTGTCAAATACATAGAGGAATGTGGAATCGTCCCACAGTACACCATCCAGGATTTCCTAGCATGAATGGTGTTGTTGAAAGATGAAACTAGACTCTTAAGGATATGATAAGGAGTATGATTTGTCATTCTACCTTGCCAGAGTCACTCTGGGGAGAGACACTAAAGACTGCAACTTACATTCTAAATAGAGTACCAACAAAAGCAGTTGTCAAAACACCTTACAAGCCTTAGATTGGGAAAAATCCTAGTCTAAAACATTTTCATGTGTGTGGATGTCCAGCTGAGGAAAGGCCTTATATGCCAAATGAAAGGAAATTGAACTCTCGAACAATGAGCAACTACTTTATTGGTTATTCTGAAAGATCTAGGGATACAAATTTTATGATCCCAAATTAAATTCAATTTTTGAGAAGGAAACGACCATATTATTTGAGGATATCGAGTTTAGGGGAAGAATAAGGTTATATACTTTGTTTTAGAGGAAGAATCGGTAACAATTCCAGAATCGATTCATATAGTTGCTTTTGACAAAGCAAGTATAAAACCTCTACAAGACATTGTTGATTTTCCTCCTACTTAAGACAATTTGGTAATTCATGAAGAACAAACTCAAAATTCTGAAGATCAAGTGTTACAAGAACCAATACCTTTGCAGAGATTTACTAAAGAAGGGAGAAATGCTATTTAGGATTACTACATGGTATTTCTCCAAGAACATGAGGAAAATATGGTATGATGGAAGATGTTCTAATCAACTTTCGTCAAGCCATGTAGGATTCCAACTCAGAAAAGTGGATTGAAGCAATAAAGGAGGAGTATAAGTTCATGCAAGATAATAAAGTATGAGAACTTGTCCCATTACCAGAAGGTGTGAAACCCATTGGTTGCAAATGAAATTTTAAGACCAAGCGGGATTCTAACGGTAATGCGAAGAGGTATAAAGCTCATCTTGTGGCTAAGGGTTATACCCAAAAGGAAGGGGTTAACTTTAAAGAGACATTCTCTTCGGTTACATCGAAAGACTCTTTTAGGACAATCATGGATCTTGTTGCACATTATGATTTGGAACTTCAGCAAATGGATGTCAAGACTGCATTCCTCAATGGCAACATTAATGAAACAATCTATATGGTGCAACTTGAAAATTTTTGTGTTAGTAGACTCAAAGAATATGGTTTGCAAACTGAAAAAATCCATTTATGGACTAAAGCAGGCGTCTCGTCAATGGTACCACAAGTTTCATGAAGTAATTCTCTTATTTGGTTTTAAGGTGAATGTTGTTGAAGATGGTATGTATCACAAATTCAGTGGGAGCAAGTACATTTTCCTTGTCTTATATGTCGATGACATACTACTTGCCACTAATGATATATGCATGATACACGAAACTAAGAAATTTATGTCAAGAAAATTCAAAATGAAATATTTTGGTGATGCCTCCTTTGTATTAGGAATTCAGATACACCGAGACCGATCTTAGGGTCTTCTAGGATTATCACAAAGGAGCTATATAGAAAAAGTACTTAAAATATTTGGCATGTAGGAATGTAAACCAGGGGATGCCCCAATTGCTAAGGGAGACAAATTTAGTCTTAATCAGGGCCTAAAAGAAAGCTTAGAAATTTAAGAAATGCAAAAGATTCCTTATGTGTCAGCAGTAGGGAGTCTGATGTATGCCAAAGTATGTACGCGTCCAGATATTGCATTCATAGTTGGGATGTTAAGCAGATATTTGAGCAATCTATGAATGGATCAAGCCAAAAAGGTTATGGGGCATTTAAGAGAATAAAAGACTATATGCTCACAAATAGGAGGTCTGACCAGTTAGAGATTACTGGATACTCTGACTTAGATTTTGTTGGATTCCAAGATAGAAAAAGATCCACTTCAGGCTATATATACATGTTGGCTGATGATGCAGTTTCTTGGCGCAGTGCCAAGCAAAGTCTTACGACTTCATCCATCATGGCAACATAGTTTATAGCATGTTATGAGGGATCTAACCATGAGATTTGGCTGATGAATTTTGTCATTGGGTTGCGAATTATAGAAAGAATTGAAAGACCATTTAAGTTATACTGTGACAATAAATTAATCGTCCTATACTCCAATAATAATAGGAGCTCGACCAAGTCAAAACATATTGACATAAAGTTCTTAGTTGTTAAGGAAAGGGTACAAAGTGGATAAATTTCTATATAACACTTGGAGACAAATTCTATGATAGCAGATCCTCTTAAAAAAGGTCTTACACCCAAGGTCTTTCATGAACACATTACTCACATGGGTGTTTTACCATTAGAGGAGTATTTGGTTTAGTGGAAGTTAGTCAATTATGAATTTTATGTTCTATATTTTGGTATTATGTATGCATACTATGTTTTTTGGATAATTTCCAAATTAATAAAGTTTGATATTCAGTAGTTTACATTTTGTATAATAAAGTTATTGAATGGTCTCACTAAAGTAAAGTAGGATCAGTTGAAAATTGACATATACATACCAACTTCATGTGATTTTCATATTGCACATTTCATGATGGATCTATGTCATTTAGTTGTGTCACTATTGGTGATCATTGGTAGGCTTAGTTATGATTGATATAACGAATATCAACTTGATTATGTATATTGGCATGACTAATGGACGAGATAATTTGGATATGCTTAAGGAATATAATAGCTAATTTTGAGCTCATAAAGTTTAACACATGTGTATGATTACATATGTGATCAGTGAGAGATTGTTAGAATTTTTGGGTCACAAATGTAATATTAGATATGTTAGAGACATTATGTAATTAACCAAAGTTGTAAGGGTCTAATTAATAATAAGCATGTGGCTAAAAGAATAAATATCATGAAAGGTAATATTATTGTGTAGATACCATAAGTCAATATCTAATTTGATGAGGGGTCAAATTAGAATATTAAAAACTAAAAAATAACTCTGAGGTTATTTATAGGGGTTATAGTATTCATTTGTAGACAACGTAAAAACAACTTATTAGGAATTATCTCTTCATCCACATCAGAGGAGAATCAATGAGCCATAAGGAACTCTATAAATCAGAAGATCAAATATCCGCAAACATTCGATGATTCTCAATGGCAAATTCAGGTACGCTTTCGCTTTCATTCTCATAATTATATTCGGATATGGGTTTAAGAGAATTATTTAGAGTTATGTTCTTGATTTTTGTATTGATAGAAATTATTAGGTTATGAACAGATCTAACACAAAGATCATCTTGCTATCTGTTTGTAGTTCCACTTTTGTAAAGACTCTCCCATGCCATTTTAAGCCCCTCTAACACTTCTCGCGTGTATGAAACAACACTGCAAAATATAACCCATTGATTTCAAAACATAATTTTCGTGTTATTACTTTTTGGGTTTATTGATTTTGGGTGTATTTGTTCCTTCTTGTTTTTTACTTTGGTATTTTTCACCTAGAATATGTAATATTTATTCTTATTTTAATTAGAGTAAAAACAAAAAAAATCAGATTATTGATTTTAGGTCTATTCATTTCTTCCTATTTTTATTTATTTATTTTGTTTTTAACCAATAATATGTAATACTTATGCTCATTTTAATCAGAGAAAAAGCAAAAACTAATGAAAAATAAAACAAAAAGAAACAATGTTACAACAATGAAATATTTTCTTAATTTATAAAAAATTCACATAGATGCAATTAAAACATAAAAAATAAAACTGAAATATGAGTTTTCTCCTAGATGCAAACCAAGATTTATCAAAACTTCACTTGGTGAACTAACAAAGTTGATATTGCTTCCTTTGATGTCACCATAGTTGATATCATATTGAGTTTGTTTTTCTGACAACCATTAGCAAAGAATATTATCAGAAAGAATAAACTTAGTAGTTTTTCCTCTCAAATTTTTAAATTGAGAAACATCTAAGAAATAATATAAATGATACAAATGGTAGAGATTTTGCATGACAAACGTTACAACATAGTGTGAGACAAAGCCTAGTATGGGTGTTATGGACAGAAAATAGTCTACTATAATAGTAAAATATCTAAATTATTCATTTACTTAAAGATGAATATTGTTTAATGGTCATCTACAAGAAAGCTATATAAAGTCTCAACTTCTTAATTTTATTTTAACTTGGAGCTTAAGTACTAGTCCTTGGAAGATTACATTGAGAGGTTATACCCATAGGAAGAAGATTACATTTAACGGTTCACTATGATGTGCGTTTAAAGGTTGCTTCAATGGTGTAATACCTATATGTACTTGTTAAAAAGTATACGATGCATGGTATCTCTCTAGTAGGGGATAACTAGAGGCCTTAGTGATTTTTGTTGGTGTAGGGCTTGCTCACGGTGGTGAGTAGCCTTGTTTGGTGGTGTTTCAGCTATGGAGAGAAAGAAAGCTCACGTGAGGTGAGAAACTATGTGTTTATGCGTTGTTATGAGTATGTTATGATATGTCTTTTACTCTCAAGAGATAACTTATTTATAGAGGCTCTTGGGCCTAGGGTTTCTTGGGAATGATAATCGTCCACTTAGTTAGTGGTCGAACATTGAATCCTTATTTCCTAGGGAGACATGAATTAGCCTGTTGAACCTAACTCCTCTCTAACCGAGGAACATCTTTTCTCATGTTTCCCATTACTGGGCGAGCATGGAGAACTTAGGGTGAGATAGTTCCTAATGGAGGATAACATATGTGTGTCACCCCTCCTGATGGCTGAAATTCTCCTGCTTATGTCAGACTCTATACAAATATATTACTACATTAGATGTTTATGATGACTTAATAGATGGAATCTTCCAAGTTCATCTAGATAAGAGAATCATTTGTAGAAGCGTCTTTACTCATTATAGATGATAGATTACAAAGAATCTTATTAGAAGTGATCTACATAAGTAAGAAACTTTAGACAATAAAATTATTCTCTTGCATTATGTTAGCATAAAAACTAAAGTGAAAAATATATGTTCATCAAATCAATCATGATTCAACAAATTCAAGTGAGGGAGATAGTTTCTTGAGTTACTTAGCATTTCTTCATCCTAACTGAATAACTAAGTGAGTTAGTTGAATATGTTATTATTGAGGTTATTCGTAGTCCCCTGTTGTCCAAAAAATAATTGATAATACAAATGCATATAAAATCAAAATTTGTCAGCTAATTAATGAGATAAATATCATAAATTTAAGCTATGTGTGAAGGTGAAGATATGATCATTATTTTGAAATGTAAAGTCTCTTGAAATGTAAAGTCTCTTAAAATTGTTGTCTTTTATTATCGTTATGATTCTTTTGAAATGTAAAGTCTCTTGAAATTATTGTCTTCCATTTTGTTCGATTCTTTCATACAAATAGTTTATCTTGTTTTAATGATAAAATTGGGGTGAGGATTCATTGATTTCTTGCAAATTAAGTTAATAAGTGCTCACGTATTTTTGACACTTATCAACACTTTCTCCGACTTATCTTTGTGTTTATCCTGAAATAATTATAATACAAATGAGTTAGAAAAATTTAATATGCATAATTCGTACGAGGTTTTAAAACTTGATCAATAACTTTTTAAAGGAGTTTTGAAGTATGACATGATTTTCTTAAAATGCAAATTCACAATCTACATTATAATCATCCATAAACTATAACATGAAGATGACAAATTTGCTTTTATCCAAAGTATGATTTTAAAATATGTTTATATCAACAATTAATTATTCATCAAAATCATTATCTCAATATGTATCACTAAAATGGTTAGTGTTTTCCTCAATATCAGACAATGCATCAATTATAAAAAATCTTTTGCACTTTATCTAAGTAATATCACAAGATACATAATCAGTTATGGATCACTAGTGTCTTTATTTTAGTTGTAATGTGGCTGAGCTATAAAAAAAGCTTGGTTTTATTGAGATTCTAAAGTGCCTAGAAGATAAGAGAGTGAAATTCATATATCACTTTGTTTTTCAAAAGGTCTTTTTCTATTATACTTTACAACTTCTTCTTTTGGTAACTTTTCTTTATTTTGTAAAATGCTACAATCTTGATTTTTTTGGGTTAAATGTATTTTTATCCTCCTGCAATAGTAGCGAGTTTTGATTTATCCCCATTTTAAACAAATAATCTTTTAGCCCTTCAGTAAAATAAGATTCCTTCAAATTTGACTTTGGGTCAAGATTCCAGCAGATTCTACATATGTGGCGTTTGACGTGGTTTTTTTAATTTATTTTTTTATTTATTTTTTTAAATTTCATGTGGAAATTCGACTTTTTTTATTTTTTTATTTTTTATTTTTATTTTATTTAATTTAATTTTTTTAAATATTTTTTTTAAAAAAATTATTTTTATTTATCCCATATTATTTTGATATATTAACTTTATGTGGTACTTAATTTTTCCGGTAGGTACTTAATTTTGTTTTTTTGGACGGTCGAAAATACGAATCTAATAATATACACAATCGAAAATATAGTATACACGTGAGTAGAAAATATGAATCTAATAAATTAATAGTTAAAATACATCGTATTTTATTTAGGTTTTTTTCTTATGAAAATAAGTAATATATAACGGGAGTATTAGGGATACTCAACGTTACTTACAACAACAAGATTCCAAACTAAATACGCTTTATTTAAAACACGCAGTTGAGTCCTTATATAAGCTACTATATTTATGTATCTCCAATAACTAATAATTCATAATACCTATGAGAACCTAATAATAATGTCCAAGTAATAACAACTTAGACTAATATTTTAGAGACTAATTATTTTTACACTATCACCCAGAATTAAATTCTTTTAATAACTATTTCTTTCATATTTTTCTCTTTTTATATGTAAAAATAATTAATTTTTAATTGGATAACAGTATAAAATAGTTTTAAGTTGTCAGTATATTTTAATTAATCTTAATATTTTATTACATAATGTGTGCATCACAAATTTTTTTTGCTGACAAAGTAATTCATGATTTTCACTGGATTAGTTTTTATATTGACCTTAATGTTGTTTTTTTTTTCTAGTGTTCATTATGTCAAGCATTTGTTTAAAATTGTATTATCGATGATTCAACTCGATAAGGTTGTATTTTATCCAACCATCAGTACCTATGAAATATTCTCGATAATCGGTCTTCGTCACTCTCCTGTTGTCAGAATCAGAGAGCAAACTATTCAATGTTTGTCGGCAAAATCTCGACCGTCCAAAAAAGCAAAATTAAGTACCTACAGGAAAAATTAAATACCAAACAAAATTAATGTATCAAATTAATATTGGATAAATAAAATAAAATAATAAGCTTGTCCAAGTGGGAGAAAATAAAAATAAAAATTAAAAATTAAAAAAAAATTAAAAAAATTAAAAAAATTAAAAAAAGTCAAATTTCCACGTGAAATTAAAAAAAAAACAACGTCAAGCGCCATGTATGCAGATTTTGCTGGAATCTTGATCCAATGTCAAATTTGAGGGAATCTTGTTTTGTTGATGTGGTAAAATAATTTTTTTTAAAAGGGAGTAAATCAAAACTCACTACTATTGTAGAGGGGATAAAATACATTTAACCCTGATTTTTTTATTGTCAAAGCACATTATTTTTGTTTTTTTTCCCCACCATTTTGATCATCATTTAACCACTTGATTTTTTCATTTTTTTTTTCAAAATACTTCTTTCTCCTTAACTTTATCCTTGGTAATACCCTTGAATTTTATTGCTCTCCTATTTTTGAGAAAATGTATGGACATTGTTTTTCTTTTAAAACTTGTTAAGGGTTATATCTTTTTAAAAACAATTTTTTTTCATGTTTAGACTTAAAGGGGTTATCAAAGGATTACACCCTCACCAAGTAGGCTTTATGGTCAAGTAGTTTTTCATTCAACAAGCAAACAATATCTTGGTCATATCTATGACATTATATATACAAAGTAATAGCAAAAATGATGTAAAATAATCATAGTCTACTTTTATTTATATATGTAAAACACGAGATCGCACACATCTCACAAGTTATGACTATATATGATTTTTGACTTACATTAACATGTTTTATCCAAACAAGTAGTAAAGTCAAATTTTAAACAAACAACTAATTCATTATCATTTCATAATTTGAAGACAATTATAACATTAACCATGAATGAAAAACATTTAAAAGAATGAAACTTTTATGATGCCATTGTCCTTGACTTTGTTCTTAACTTATCCTTTGTTATGCATTTTGTAAACTGTAATATTATTGTAAAGATTGTAAGTTGAATCTGGATAAAAATTTGACGAAAAAGGCTCTGTTGGTAGAACTCTTAAGAAAAAATCCTTGAGGATCGGAGTAGGATGCATGGTTTAAGGCCTAATCAATATATTTTCTAGTGTGTTGTTTTCTTTTTTCTTATATATTTATATTTGTGTTATTTACTCTTCTGCATTAAATCTCTGATTTATCTCATTTCTTAAAATCAATCAAGTAATTTTTTTTATGTTTTAAAAATCTTTTTATACATATTTCACTCTCCTTTTTTGTTAGACATTTGATCAAAAAGTGGTACCAAAACTTATTTTTATTAAAAGACTAAACATCTAAAAAAAAATCAAATAATTCTATTAAAGAAAAGAAGTTTTCTAAAAAAACAAACGTCTAATATTTAATAGTAAAATATATATATTATGTGACATGAAAAAAAAGAGGAAACAAAAGATATACTTTCCATATAAAATAATTTTACATGATGATCCAATAAATAATGTGCATTCCACAAAATTATACTGATATTTTGAAATGATTAAGATGATTTGACATATTAATATTTTTTTAATGGACGACCATACAAAATTTCTTTAACCTGATGTTGTATGCCCATTAAACTCAAAGAAGAATAATAAATATAATAATAAAATATTAAAATGAGGTAGTTTATCTATAACTATATATAAAGGCAAAACATGATTTTGGTGTAGTCAATTTTTCTTCCAATTATACTCTTTTCAATTTTTGTTTTTAACTTTACCTTCTCTTTTTACTAACTATTATATGACATTATGCATATCTTTTTTTACATTCTCTTTCATTCTATTTTTTAAATTATTTTATAAATAAATTATTTATAATTATATATAGGTAAAACATGGTTTTAGTGTAGATTATTTTTGTTTCAATTATATCCTTTTCAGTTTTTGTTTTTAACTTTAACTTCTATTTTTACTAAATGTTATATGCCGGTTTGCATATCTCTTTCATTTCTTTTTTTATTTTATAAGTAATTAAAATAAAATAAAAATAAATACACATAAATACCGTTTATAATTTTATCTGCTTACTCACTAAAGAAAGAGGACAAACAAGTGCCTGGACAATAGTTTTTATATAATTGAAAGAGAAGAGTAGTTGTGTATCTTAAAAACACTCTTTAAAGATTTCAAATAAAAAAACATTGCATAAAATAGAAGTCTTTTAAAGAAAAGCATATCTTTTATTCTATAAAAAAGTTATTATTTTAATTTCTAATTCATTAAATACAAGTGTTTTCAAACAAAAATATGTATTTTTTTTTTAATTTTTAACGAGTGTCTCAAAAGCATTCGTTCGCATTTCTCTTAATTATTCTAAGGGTTTAAGTTGTAAAAGAGTTCGCTTAGACACATGTAGATCTTAATTCTGGTGGAAACAATATTTAACTAATGTCATATGATCTCTCAACACGAATTCTGAATTAGTAGGATCTTATTTCCTTAAAAACCAACCAAAGTGTAAAAAGCAAAAAAAGGAACCAACTATAATTTTAGTATTTTATATATAAAACCAAATGTGAAATGCAAAAAAATACCAAATATATATATATATATATATATATATATATATATATATATATATATATATATATATATATATATATATATATATATATATATATATATATATATATATATATATATATATATATATATATATATATATATATATATATATATATATATATATATATATATATATATATATATATATATATATATATATATATATATATATATATATATATATATATATATATATATATATATATATATTGTGTTTGCATGGTTGTGCAATATTATTATAAATAACAAATAAATATAATATAATGATGGCTAAGAAATGTATATAAAAAATATACAAATTAAATATATATTTTAGTAATTTAAGATGTTCCCTAATAGAATAATAATGAGAATAATTTTTTTTTAAAATAAAAACAAAGAATAGGGCTAAAGGATGTTGTAAGGCCCATCGAAAACCTTAATTATTAAAGAAGAAAATGAGTAAAGAGAAAAAACATTAAATCAATTATTAAAAGCAAGATATGTAGAATAAAGCACACTATACATCCCTTTGCCTGCCACACTTTCAGATTTTTTCATCTCTCTGTTCATCGTCGATTCCTTCTCATCTATGTTTCTGTTTTCATCTTTCTCTCCTTGTTCTCAAACTTGCTCTCCTTGTTCTTTCCAAATCTCATGAAAACAAACAACAACAATCCTGCTTTAATTCTCACGGTTCCTTATCATGTTTTCACAGTTTCGATTTCGTTTCCATGACCTCAAAACTCCGATTCAAACTCTTTATTTCTCGTAAGTCGCTTATTACGGTTCTGTTTCAATAATCATCTCTCTGTTTCGACTCTGTTCGGTTACAAAAATTTTACGATTTAATTTCAGTTTTCACAAGAAAAACAACAATCAATCAACACAATCACACCTAAATTCGTAGTTTGAACAAGACAAAGTCTAAAAAATAAATTGAAAATTCTTCGACGATAAATTCTTCTCGTCTGAAATCAAAAGTGTTCATAAAAACTCTCTAATAATACGAACCAATTTGTTTAAGACTTTGTTTTTAATCTTGTACAATCTATAATATATAAGAAACATATATGTTATCGAAAAAAATATCTATATCCATCGTTGTCAATCTGCCATGTGTCAAATTGGACTATTATTAGTTATTTTTTTAATTTTTTATTAATTAGTATTACACATGCAAATTGTCTATATTATCATTGAAATTAAGTCTCTCGTTAAGCTTTTTAGATAGTATCAAAGTAATTTTGAGATTATATATATATATATATATATATATATATATATATATATATATATATATATATATATATATATATATATATATATATATATATATATATATATAAAATACCGACCCGACCCATTTTCATGAAAACAGAAGGTAAAGAAAAACTATAAATCAAAACCCTAAAACATCGTTGTTCCGTTTGGAAGTTGCTTGCACTGAACTTTCCGGGAGAAACCCGCGGCCGGTATTGGTCGTTCACCGCCGCAAAACAGTGAGAAAGTTACGTCTCAGTAGGTATGAAAAAATATCACTCCACTGTTCATTTGTTTTTGGTGCTTTCTTTACTTTTACCATATACATGTCATTTGTTAATTTTAGGATGAAATTTATTCATTCATAGGTTAGAAACTGAGAATGGAGGAAGAGAATAAAGAAATTAAATCATTTAAGGATTTAGGCTTAAATGACTCATTGGTGGAAGCTTGTGAAAAGCTGGGTTGGAAGAATCCGCTAAAGATTCAAGTAGAAGCAATTCCCCAAGCTCTACAAGGTTAGATGTAATCTATGCTTCTATATTGGTTTTTAAATGTTTGTGGCATTGATACCATAGTTTCTAGTTGTATTAAAATTATAGCAACATTCTAGAATTGGTTTTTAGTTAGTCATTTTAATTCTCTGATTAGTCGTCTATCGTTAGTTAATTCAGTACTTGTTCCGTGCTGGAACAAGAGTTTGTTATGGTGATAAAGCTTCCGAAGAGGTGGAGAGGGGCTGACCTGTTAGCACTCCAATGTTCAGAAAAGATTTGAATACATGTGAAGTGACACACTTTCACCATTAAATAGGAGAAATGATCGGTAACTGCCCGTTGGATTAATCTGAGCAGTTAGCATGTCATTCGTGTAGATTGTCTACTCTGTGGACCTGTTCCGCGTTCAATAGCTTGCTGCTTTGTCATTGGACCTTTGTCTTCTGGGCCTTGCGAATATTCCGGAATAGTCCTCAAATATATTATCAGTTTGTCACATTGGTCCAAAAGTTACAAATAAAAGAAGCGTTGAGAAATGTTTTTGTAGTTTTGATGCAATCGGAGATTATAGTAATAGTAATCTGATTTTGAACTTAGTATTATAGTTTTTATGTTTTCAATTTTATTGCATTACTCTGTTCAATAGTGTTCTATTTCAACCTTTATATTTTCCCCATCTTTAGTTCTTAGAGGGTGGCATTTTTTTAGTGAAAGTTGAACTATATTAATTTTCTGGCTATTCTTTATATATTGTGTTTTGCAGGGAAAGATGTGATTGGAATTTCCCAAACGGGTTCTGGTAAGACTGGAGCTTTTGTTCTTCCTATATTGCATGCCCTCTTAGAAGCACCCTTTTTTCTCCGGAACAATTTCTTTGCATGTGTAATGTCTCCCACAAGGTTTGATTTGATTATTAGATACCTGATCATAGATTTAATATTCATATAATTCAGATTTATATGATGTAATTATTCTCACTGATATTTAACTAGGATATCTCTTTTGTTCTAACCTTTTTCTTAATCTAGGGAGCTTGCTTTTCAAATTGCTGAACAATTTCAAGCTCTAGGTTCTAAAATAGGTGTCAAGTGTGCTGTGGTGAGATTCTAATGCTTTTTTCTTACATCATTTGTTATGCATGAATTTCATGTCATCCAGTTCATTACATGTTTGTTTTGTTTTGCCCAATCATATGGTGGTTATTGACATCCATTACTCAATAATTTATTTTGATTGGTATCTTTTCCTTTTTCTATAGCTTGTTGGACAGATTAACATGGTAACGCAGGCCATCGAGATTGCAAAGCGACCTCATATTATTGTAAGTGTTACTGTTGCTGTAGGCATGCTTGATTTCATTTGTTTCTTCTACAAGTATAAAATTATGATTGTATTTTTATTTAGTGCTACTTTTAGTCTTCTAATTTTATCAGTCCTGTGTTTTGTTTTTTATTTATTTTTTTATTTATGATGATGTTTTACTCTTGAAGGTTGGGACACCTGGACGAGTCTTGGATCACCTAAAAAACACCAGAGGATTTTCTCTTGATAAATTGAAATACTTGGTATGATTTCTACAATATTTTGATTTAAGCTTGAATTTTTTTTTTATATTGAATGCTTGAGTAACAGCAAGTACATGTCTAGCGTGAACCAAATTTAATGTTCATATATGTTGTCATTATTTTCTGCATCATAAGGAGATGTTAATAAATATGTGTTAGCTCTGTACAATGCTTTACACAATGTTTTTTCCCTTGATGAATTTTGGTGAATCTTTTTGGTGGTCATTGAAAAACCCAAAACAATACTGACCGCAATATCGGCCGATACTGCATATTTATTTAAATAAAATTTGCATTGCAAACGTGCCATATAGATGTAGTAAGTTTTGTGTTTCATACATAGTTGCATCTTTTGGACCTATTTGCAACTTTACAAAATGAAATATTTAAGTAATATGTTTTCTTTTCTACCGTATCATATTCTAGGCCACATTTCTATATATTTAGGTGGCCTTGTTTGATTGTTCTGCATTTTGAGCAGGTCTTAGATGAGGCAGACAGGCTGTTGGATGAGGACTTTGAGAAAACAATTACCGAGTTTTTAGAATTTATTCCTCGTGAGCGGAAAACATTTCTTTTTTCAGCTACGATGACAAAGAAGGTAAATATGTAGGTTTATTAGTTATGGGGTACTTAATATACTATTTATAGTCAACACTCTTTTCCCTTAGCATTAGCCCGATATGGTATCTTAATATTCAAATGAAACCATTTTCTTTAAATATTCTGTGATATGGAACCTATTAAACATGAGCCCTTTTGGAAAGCTTTTTAGTATCTAACATTATTCAAGTTAACAACTTTTGTATATCAGTATAATAGTTTGTGTATGCGTAGCTGCATAGTTGGTTATAACAATTATAGTTTGTTACAATTGCTGATTCAGCATATTCTGTCATAACAGAATCTGATAAAGCCTCTGAAGCTCTCATTCTATGGTGCATATGATATCAAATTTGTGTACTGCTTATATACAGGTGCTTGTAATAGAAACTAAGAGCACTGCACTGTTGAATGAGAAAATGTAAAAAAGTCAAAAAAGTTTATGTTGAATCTTTTCTGTAATGTGTATTCAGTTTACAATAGAACTAGCAACAAGTATTTATACATGTTTTCAACTGATTCTAATTTAATTAGGGACCGTACTGAGTCAGCACATTTAAAGGGGTAGCCTTGGTTCAACGGTAAAGTTGTTCTATTGCGACCCTGGGTCATGGTTTCGAACCCTGCTGGAAACAGTCTCTGTTATAAAAACAGGGGTAAGGCTGCGTACATCTAAACCCCCAAGCCCATAAAATTGGAGCCTCGTGCACTAGGTTACCCTTTTACAGAGCCGGGTTACCCCTTTACTGAGTCAGGACATTTAGTTACAAGGCTAAGACCTTGTTTGGCTACTTACACCTCAGGGTAGTTACAAGATTAGAGCTTTGTTTGGCTATCTATCTATTGTTTACTCTGTTAGTGATTGTGTAATTTATTCATTTGTAAACTTACAGTTGTAAATAATAATGGAATTTGCACTCTTGCTATTTCAGGTCCAGAAGCTCCAAAAGGCTTGTTTAAGGAAGCCCGTGAAGGTACAACCATAAGATTTACAAATGTCTTTATACTTGTTATACATAGGGGAAATTACACTGAATTTTTTTTGTTGTTGCTACACTTTAGTTGGTTTTAATGCATTCTTAGAGACAATTTTTATTCTATTTAGATTGAAGTATCATCCAAATATTCTACTGTGGACACACTGAAGCAGCAGTATCTCCTTGTGCCAGCAAAACATAAGGTTTTTCTTCTTCCTTGTCCAAAAATGTTGTATCTCAAATATTTAGACAATCAATTGCACTTTGAAGTGAAACTATTATCTTATATGATTGTTTTCATTCATAGGATTGCTACCTTGTATACATTCTCACTGAAATGGCTGGAAGCACATCAATGGTATTCGCCGAGAAATGTGAGACAACATGGCTTCTGGCTTTGATTCTTAAAAATCTTGGTTTGAAAGCCATCTCAATTAACGGTCATATGAGTCAGGTATGTATACACTACAATTCATTTATTATAAATTGTAATTTGCTCTAAACAGCCAAGGAATACAGCTGATTTTTATCATAATTTTTTTTTTACAGCCAAAGAGACTTGAAGCCTTGGAGAAATTCAAGTCTAGGGAGTGCAATATTCTCGTTTGTTCTGACGTAGCCAGTAGGGGACTTGATATTCCAGCGGTAGATATGGTGATTAACTATACCATTCCCAAAAGCAAAGTTTATGTACATCGTGTGGGAAGAACTGCTCGTGCAGGGCGTTCTGGTGTTGCCATTTCCCTTGTGAACCAATATGAAGTGGCATCGTACATGAAGATAGAGAAGTTTATAGGTAAGAGGAGTATATGCTCTCCGCCTTTTCTTTGACATTTTAAGCAGGGAATGTAATACAAGTTTGTTTTTCAGGCAAGAAGCTACCAGAGTATCCTGCAGAGGAAGTGGAAGTTTTGTTTTTGAAAGAGCGCGTTAGTGAGGCCAAAAGATCAGCAGACAAGGTGAGTTTTAAGCTACTTTTTAGGAATGTATGAAAAGATGTATGAACTGTGGTTATTATTGGATATTAGATTATGAAGGATATGAAACTATTCTATTCTTATGTGATTTAATTATTGATTTTCTATTTACTTAATTGGTAGTATTTTTATTTGTGTAGGAAATGAAGGAATCCAATGAGAAGAAGAAACGGAGGAGTGAAGGAGATTTTAGTGAAGAGGAGGAGGACGACATTGAGAAATACTTGGGTGTCAAAAATAAAAAATCATCCAAGAAGTTCAGAAGATAGTAAATTAATAGTTAAATATATTTTTGGACACTATAAAATCGAGATATTTTAAGTTTAGTCCTTGTTAATCTTTTGATAAGGTAATTTAGTCCCTTATAAATTGGTACTTAACAAAAATGGTCCCTAGTGTTAAAATTGTATTGACAGAAAAAATCAGACAAAAATCCGACCAGATCTCTACAACATGAAACACTTTTAAATGACCTGTGATTAATCAAATTTATGATTTTTATGAAACAAAATAAATTTATGATTTTTATGTGTTTAATTTATAAGCAATTAATAAAAAAATAAAACCCTTACATCAAGCTCAACCTATTTCTCTTTATAAGTAATGTCTCACTACAACTAACATTTTTTTTTGGTTGATGGGAATAGAATTTCATTCAAACGGGAAAACAACAGCAGGGGGTGGCTATCTAAACGCGCACCAAATCAGGTCCTAGATCTAAACAACTTAGCAATCCCAACTAATACAATCCTCCACATTAGGAGCAATTGCAGCGAAACAATTTTGTGACCTTGGATACAATCCGCCACTGCGAGAGCATCAGTCTGGATGAGGACACTATTTCACTCGAGGTGTAAAGCCAGCTCCAAACATCATCTAACTCCCAATGCCTCAGCCACACATGGATCCATATTGATGACCTGCTTCTTGCAAGTGCTTCGAACAATACTCTCGTCCTGTGCTTGACTATACATCCCCTGGTTGTTTGTCCATCAGGAAAACACCTAGCATCCACAGATGCAATGGGCTCCACACCACTACAAACAACCTAATCCTGCTCAAAACCATAACATACATTGTCAATGGGTTGTTAACAGTCAAAGAGAATTCCTCAGACAACTCCACAACATCTTTCGCCACATCCAAAGGGTTGAACTCTTTATTTTTGAAAAAGGAAATGATTTCTTTCCTGCCAAGTCTTGCACAGAGTAGCACAAACCAATTGAGCCATTGCCTTACATCAGTATCAACAGGAATTTGAAAACCCAAAGAGGGAGCAAACCACAACCTCTTTGCCATATGACATTGAAGGAATAAGTGATCCTTGGATTCAGGTTCAAATGAACAGAGAGGACAAATTGGATCAATAGATATACCTCGTCGGTAAAGATTTGTTCTCAAGGGTAAGAATCGTAAGATGCCCTTAACAAGTCGTTAGAGAAAATTCTTTGTTGTATTTGGGAGTATAACCGTCTAGATCCCTTTCCACAGCAGGTTGCCATTGTAACACGAAGATCCTTCATGCATTCTACGCTTCTCTTCACCGATACAATGATAGGCAATCTTGAGAGAATACACACCATCTTGCTCAGAGAGCCAGACTAACATGTCCTTAAGGAGCCGCCTAGCTACGGGAATGCTGAGAATTTAACGGGCATCAAACCCGTTGAAATAAAAAAGGACCGTGTTCTCGTTCCATATTTTCACGTCTTCATCAATAAATTCTGCCATTAATGCGTCAAATGTTGTCATTTGTTTTTGTCTCATAGAAACTTGGAGGAGAAGGAAGCCATTTGTCCTTCCAGATGCGCACCTACTTCCCATTCCTTATTTTCTTCCTGCAACCAAGATTCAGAGTGTCTCGAGCACTAAGAATACTCCTCCATGCATATCTTGGAGAGTAGTCCACCTTTGCTTCCAAGAAACCACACTTTGGAAAATATCTAGTTTTGAAAACTTTCCCTAGCAAGGTATGTTCCCCTTTCAACAATCTCCAACTTTGTTTTCCAAGAAGGGCCTTATTGAAGTCTCCAAACTCTCTAAATCTCATCCTCCCTCTGCTGTTGGCCTTCGCCAGGCGCTCCCACCTCATCCAATGAATCTTTCTTTGACCCTCTTTTGATCCCCACCAAAATTTTGAAATCATCCTCTCAATTTGGTCGCAACATCCTTCAGGTAACTTGTAGCAACTCATGATGTAGCTAGGAATGGTTCGGGAAACTGATTTGATTAACATTTCTCTTCCTGCACATGAAAGCGCCTTCTCTTTCCACCCCTTCAATTTCTTCCACACACGCTCCACCACAAAGGAAAAACTCTTTTCTTTGACCTACCAAAAACCATTGGGAGTCCCAAGTACTTAGTATGGTTTTCCACCTGATTGATTTTCAACTTCCCACAAATCAAGTTTCTACTGTAAGAACAAGATTTGGTTCTGCAATATTATCTCTGAGTTTTAATGATAACAAATGAGTATGATTGTATGAACAATTTTGATACTCTAATGTTTGTTATTATTGAGTACTTAACAAACTGACCTACTTCTGATGGATGGCGTGGCCAAGACATTAAAAGAAAATTAGTTCCGCTTCTATGCTACACAAGTTCTGTTGAACAGTAGCAATACACTCGAGAAGGCTTTGAAGTGTAGGCTCTGATGTTTGTCTAAAGAAACCGGTCAGAATATTTGAAGACAAAAGTTTCTACTTATCTCCAGATGCTAAAAACTCAAGCTTCTAAAAACAATGTGCTCTAAGAAAACAGTCACAAGATTTGAAGACTCAAGTTTCTACTTACGTCCAGATGTTAAAGACTCAAGCTTCTAAAGACAACGTGCTCTAAAGAAACAGTTAGAAGATCTGAAGACTCAAGTTTCTACTAATCTCCAGATGCTAAAGACTCAAGCTTCTAAAGACAACGTGTTCTAAGGAAACAATCAGAAGATCTGAAGACTCAAGTTTCTACTAAAGTCCATATGCTAAAGACCTAAGTTTCTAAAGACAGTGTGTTCCAAAGAAACAAAGTTAGAAGATATGAAGACAATGTTTCTACTGAAGTCTAGATGCTGAAGACTTGTGTTTCTAATAATCGGGTTCTATACAGTGAGTTCTCAAGACCAAGTGCTGAAGACTCTAAAGACGTAGTTCTTAAGACTCTGAAGACTTGAAGCTCTTCTGATCCAAGATTCTCTACAACGGGTTTTCAAGACCAAGTGCTGAAGACTCTGAAGACACAGTTCTTAAAGACTCTAAAGACTTGAAGTTCTTCTGACCTAAGGTGATTACAAGGTTTTCAAAACCAAGTGCTAAAGTTCTGAAGATGATGATCTATAGACACTGAAGACTTGAAGTTTTGAAAAGCCCAAGCATTGTTCTCCTTCTTCTGACTCATGCCTGCTAGCCCCTAAAGTTTTTGAAGAACCAAGAGAATACCATTAAAGAAGGTTCAAAAGTACATCATATGTTTTGCTCACTACCTGGACTCACAGTACTATCTTGTTCCCCATTCAATTCAACTTTTCATCTATGTGATGATTCCAAGATTACCCTCCAACGGTTATATTTATATTGGGTATATATATAACTTGAAGACTAAAGAGAAGTAGTGTGTGTTGATGGTGTAAAAGCATAAATCACCAAGAAGCAACAACAATGTCAAAAGTCTTCTTGTAATTCTTCATTCTTATGTCATGTACGCTTAAATTTTGTTTACATCGAGCTTGTGTAGAAGCATTATTAATGTAAACAAATGTTATCAAATAATTGTTTGATGATATCTTAAGAGACTGAGTGAAGGTATGTTCTCAAGAAGATAGTGACTGAAGGTCATTATGAAATCCTGGTAGTGATTTCTATTGGGTCAATGGTAGTCACATCTCAAAGGATACTGAGTGAAGGTCAGCCTTGTGAGATCATTGGTGGATATCATTGTAAGGAAATCCCGATAGGAGATCTTGAGATATTAGATTCTATTGGGTCAATGGACGTTATATCCTGTTGGATCACTGAACAAGTCATTGGTTGTTAGTCACTTGCGTGTAGCTTGTGCATTGTAATCAGTTTGGTTATAGTGGATTAAGCCCTTGATTAAGGAAAAATCACCTTGACGGGTGGACTGGATTAGCTTGGGGATTTCTCAAGTGAACCGTGATATATTGTGTGCTCTTTATTATTGCTTATGCTTTATAATTTATGTTTTCATAACTTAATTAGAAGCATTACTTAGAAGCAATATTCAGAAGCATTGTTCAACTAAATAATGCTTAGACTTTACTCTTATGTATGCTTTAGAGTTTATATTTTCTTAACTTAATTAGAAGCATTGTTCAACAAATAATTCTTAGAACCGAAAGTTAATCAAAGAGTGAAAAACCCAATTCAACCCCCTCTTTCTTGTTATTGATGGATATCAAACACCTAACAGTGTAAGATAAAGATCCAGATGATGTGTGAAGAAATACTCTAAGGTGTTATTTACTCAATTTTTAACTATTGCCTAAAACCAGAAAATTGAAGAACAAGTTAACAAGAAAAGATTCATCAGATAAGAAGTTATATTTGTTGAATACTTTTGATTAATATCCTTGAGAGTGTGAGATGTTTTCAAGAAATGGATCAGTCCACCCTTGACTTTCTCATAAGATCTTATTAGGAATCTTTTCAAAAGAAGAAAGATTGTTGTCTTATGATACATAAGAACCTCATGATAAAGCTGCCCATTCAAGCAGACATAAGATCTTATGCATAAAATCTAAACATTGACTTTGTTGAAAAAGGCTTTGTAGAAGACCATACATTGCTGAGCAAATAACGCTCATTAATTTATCAAAAGTATGATCAAGACTAACTCTAAATAAGTTAGGTCAATATTGCAAGAACAAGACTGTCATTCAAACTATTCAGAGTTTGATAATACTTGTATTGGAACAATTTCTGAAGATGCTAAGGAATATTTCTCTCAAGAAGTCTGGAATCAGAATTCAGAAGAAGAACCTCTAGAAGACCTCTCTGAAGAAAGAATAAGAAGAAAGAAGTTGATCAGAAGTTGTATCTAGGAGAAAGCTAAAGTTAAAGACAGATGGAAGATCTTCAATAATATGACAATATCATTTCTCTGCTTCTCCTTACTTATTATACTTCTACTAATTTTATTTTATAGACTCAGTTATCAAAAGATTTTCGGTCAGAAATATCTCTGATCAGATGGAAGCCTTTAGTTATCCATACCCTGAGTATATTGATCGTGTCACTTAGTTAGATGTAGTGATTAA